GTAATATGATCATTTAATGTGAGATATGATAATTTCATTTTGTTATGTCCCTGGACCACTACAAAAGTATTAAATATCTTGATATAAATTTGGAAAAATGCAGTGGAAAAAATGGAATCCAGAATCAGGTAGAGTGATTTGGGCTTAGTTATAGAACAGGTCCCCAAAAATGCCCAAGAATTTTCCTCACAATGCCTGAAGGGAACAGATGATATTCAAAATATTTAACACACAGAATAAACTCCTAACCTATCTGAATGGACACCACCTACTAACCTCTATCAGTATACTTGAATATTCTTCCAGCCTAAAATGATGCTCATTATGTTATTACTACTTAGGGTTACAAACTCTGAAATTAGATGGCTTGGATTGAATCATACCGCTGTTTAATCTTAGGACAATTTTCTTTGCTTCTCTGTATTCAATTTCCTTATCTTTAAAAATGATATAATACTTTCTTTGTAGAGCTGTTATGAACATTAAATAAACTAGAATAAGCAAAGCACTTAGGACCATGTTAACCACATAAGGCTCAAGCACATAAGCATTGGTTATTACTCTTCACTTTTCTGAACTCTGAGGTTTAGTCTATGCAGGTACCACAGTTGAGGTACCAGGTGGAGGTGAGGCTTACAGGTGGATTGTCCATGGCTGTCCACTGGTGCAGGGCAGTGAGAGGACACACTCCCAGCCACAGGAAGAGGCTGGCCAGGCCTAGACAAAGTGACATCTCGCACTGGAAGTTTCACCCAGACACAGTGGATGCTGGGCTGATAACATGACATGTTCAAAACCTGAATGTGACTCCCAGCACAAGCTCGGGGACAGGGCTTGGCACTGATCTGCAGACCTAGGGTCATCAGTGTCTATAGTAAGGAGATCTGGAGAAACAGAATTTTCCTGGGGTCCGTGCAAGACCTGGGGTCACCAGAAGACAGGGATGGTGATAATGCTGGAAGACTCACTTAGTTATGTATCCTTTACTTACACCATTAAAATATCTCCTCAGAGGTGTTCTCTGACCAAAGAATTGTGCTAAGTGGATGCACATTGAAGCAATACTCTTAAGTGAAATAAATAGGACACACATATGTAAATACCGAATAGTTTCTCTGGTGTGAGAAACTGAAAGTGTAAATAAGGACGAAAGAGTATAATAGATAATGTGAAATAGGAAGAAAAGGGGCAACGGGGAAGGAAGTGGGAGGGCTAAGGGAAAGGATAGAAGGGAATGGGATTAATATGAGAAAATGGAAAAATAGGAACAAAATTTTTGTGAATAGGGAGGGCTGGAGGGGTTGAAGGGAGGGCTGGACAAGGGTGAAAAATAAGAACCAAGAGAGAATATGTAAAGGTGCAAATTTCCAATGATGAATGTCATTATATTGTATACCTAAAATGTACCGATGATTAGAATGAATAATCGATAATGCAAAATAGGAAGAAAAGGTTCAAAGGGGTAGGGGTAGTGGGAGGGGCAGGGGAAAGGAAAGAAGGGAAAGGAAAAAATGATGAGAAATGGAAAAAATGGAAATAAAGTCTTTGTAAATAGGGAAGGGTGGAGGGCATGAAGGGAGGGCAGGGAATGGGGAAAAAATAAGAACCAAGATGCATTATGTAAAGGTACAATTCCCAGTGAGAAAAAAAAAATTATTTCTGAACACAGGTCCTCTCAGATTATGTAGCTGGCCATATAGCTGTTTCCCCTCAAAAGTAGCAGTAGATCAGCCTTAGAATAAATCTATGCAGTTGCCCTTAAGGATAGCATCTCTTCCTACCAAAAATGACTCATGTGGGCTCAGTGCATAAGCCATGACAGGGCTAAGGAGAGAAGCTGGCTTCATATCCACAGGACCAGTCATTCCGCCCCCCTTCCAGCTCAGAACCTCCTTCTATTGGTACCAGTACCGAAGATGGGAACCACTTGTACCACGATGATGTCAGGCTAAATCTCTAGCACCCAAGCCCCCCTTCCTCCCGTGGTGATTTTTGTTGCCTGGGGATATTGTCAGGTGATACTATTAATGTCTCAAAGAATCTATAATAACTTCAAAACCCAAAAGGGAAGGTGTCAAGTGTGTTCCTGGGAAACTCAAAGGCCCCTATTGACTTCCTGGAGACCACTCATGTGCCCCCAAAGAGGCAGGCTGTGCCACACTTCTCAGAATCCTGTCATACCTCCCCATGAGGCAATGGTACTAGCCATCCAGCATGTACATAAGCAAAAGAGACGACCCACACAACCCTTTCCAGAGCAACATCTCCTCCTAAGATGCTTTCCAGCTGTTCCCCTGTAAACATCTTACAACAGCCTTTAAATGACAACCTTGTCCCATGAAATAAACAACCCTCACTTAGTGGAATCTACTACCAGACTGCAAAGGGCATGATAAGCCATGCTGGGGTTTTGTGTTTTATTATAAGGGTAGAATTGGACCTGAAAGATTTTAAATATAGGACAGACTTTGATTAGATTTTTATTGGGGGAAAAGATATTCCAACTACTGCATAGAAGCTGATTTTTAAACAGCTAGACCAGAAGCTGAGACATGGGTTAGGAGGTGGTTGGAAGCTGTGGTGGGCTAGACTGGGGTTGTGATAGTGGTAGAAGTAAATTCGAAGGACTTGAACCACAGGACGAATCTGTGTACAGGATGTGAGGGAGAAGCAGGCGTCAAAGTATATATCCAGAACTTCTCTTAACCTGGACAACTGGTGAATGCTAGAGTTGGCTGTTCACTCCAGAAACAGAGGGAGAGAGAGGGTTGGTGGGGGAAAGGGGTGAGGACCAGCTCAGGTTGGGATACAGACCAGGGGCTTTCTAGCCACACTCTGGATGGCAATCGGGTCCCCCTTTGTCAGGACCTCAGAAGCAACTCAGAGGAGTGCTGAATGGGAATGTCCAGGGGCCCCTGGATGAAGGGGTCTGGAACTGAGGAGAAATAAGTGGCTGAACACATGAATGTACACATCATCAGAAAACGGATAATAATGGAAATGAATGAGCCATTCCAGGCAAAGTATGTATACTGACAGAATAAAAGGGCCTCTAAGAGACATCAAGATAAGGGAAGAAAGTCTTCTTAGGAAACGGGGAGAAAAATGCCAGAGAAGTAGGAAGAATCATGAGAGCACAATGTTATAGAAGACAAAGGAATGTTCAATGGAAGAAAAAGTTGTCAACAGAGTCACATGCTGCTCAGTGATGAAGTACAATCTATGGCAAGGGGTAGGGGACAAAAACAGGTATAGATGTACTATGTACATGGACCAGCTCCCCAAGAGAAACATAATCAGTACAGACTGCAAACACATACTAAAAAAACAAATAAACAAGACAATTACAAACAAAAAAGAGTCACTTTTTTACTTAAATGCCCGCTAAGACTCACCTTTCTTATAGAGTAATCTTTCTGAGCGTGTTGTAACAGCAGGGTCTGCTGAGGGACACAGAGAGCCTTTGGTTTCTTAGAGAGAGGGGGCATTTGGTACAAGGAATCAGTTACACACGTGCTGGAAGGCTGAAATAGTACACGAAGGCGACTGCTATAATCCTGAGACTGGGCACTGCTGAAAACAACCTCAACTCCAGGGAAGGGGTGACCTAAAAGAAGGAGGAGAAGTTTCCAGACAAAGAGCTGGGCAGGTTCTGAAGACCCGGAATTCAGACTTCTGAGAGGAAGTTCTGGAAACCCAATGCTCAGACTGCTGCAGAAGGAACCCAGCCATGACCCGGATGACAAGGACTTTGAGGCCCACCCGCTGCAGGTGGGACCCTGCCCTGTCCCGTGGCAGCCAAGGGAGGAGAAAGTGGCACACGAGGCTGGCAGCTGAGGGCCGGATGCACCTGCCTGTGGCCCGTGAGAAACAGGTCAGGAGCAGGAAGGCAGGCAGGAAGTGCCCTCCCCTCTCTCGCCTTCCAGCCTCTTTCTCCTGCCCCCACTGGTGCAACCTACCAGAAGAGTGGCTGGCAAAGGAGACTGGGAAATGTGATCCCGAAGCCCTGGGCCCAGGGTCACTGATCCTACGTGCAGATGTGGGCTGTTGCAGAGGTAGCAGCTTTTCTAAATGCGAAAACACATGGCACGGAAGACCCTGTGATCTGACCCCACAAAGCAACATAGCCTGAGCTGTGAAATACACTTTTGCTACCTCCCATCTGTACAAGCATTAGCAAGCTACTGCAGCTACATTTCTGTTTCCTCCTCTACAGAATGAGAAACAAAACAGTACATGCTCCCTTTGTACAACCTATATGTTCCTGAAAAAACAACTCATTTTCTAAAACCATAGTAAAAATAAAAGACTCAAGGAAAAAATAAAATGGTGCAAATTGTTTACACAAATGGAACCTGTGCAGCCAGAGCACTAACAGAAATAATCACTGGGTTCTCAGGATGTCACTCGGACAATCCAGGCAGGCCACTCCACGAGGCTAAAGGTTGCTTAAGGTCATAACAAAAAGCTCAAAATTACACAGTGCAATGGCATCAGGTGGGGCTGAATAAACGCAGACAGAAGTGGAACTCTGAGCTGGGGCTGTGGGGAACATAGACAGAGAAGCACACGTCCCTGCCATGAGCTAGGAGCTGGCACAAGCCTGGGCTCTCTGGAGAGGAAACCCCGGGGTGGAGTCTCATTTTTAATTTTCTTAAAATAGAGCAGTAAGGCCCCAGTCTAAGCCACAGCTGAGATGAGGGCTTTCTCTTTTCTTGCTGAAAGTTTTAATTTTATCCTTGCTCTTCCACTTTCCCTTGCCAAAGGAAAAAATTATCTGAAACCACCCAAGTTTCTTAGACGGAAATCATGTCCCAATTTTCCCATCATATGAGAAGTACCAGTGTTACAGAAACATGGACAGTAGCATAACAATCAGTGTCAAAACCACAGTGTCCTGTGACAATAGGAGAAGCTATGCAGAGTCTCAGGCCCGCGGGAAGACACTGCTGGAGCTGCTGTCATTATGTCCCCAGCATCATCTTCAGTTGCTTTCTTACCTGCAGGCCGTGGTCCAGCCATCCTTAAGCCACACAAAGCAGCACCTGCTGTGTATTCTGGCAATCCGCTGGGTCACTTCCACAGCTGCTTCTCCAGGAAGTGTCCACTGCTATCTCTGTTCCTACCCCAAGTGGGCTGGCTGACTCCTATTCCTTGCCCTCGGCCTAAGGAGTCTCTGATGTTCTCAGCACTGGGCACCCCTGTACAGTGTTGCTGGCACTGGAGCTGCTGGGGGCAAACCCTGTCACTCTCTCACCTTGACAGCTTCAGAGTCAGCTTCAGTGCCTGGAAGACAACAGTCAAATCTGAATAATTCTGATTAGGTGCCAAGGAGGAAAACAGTGAGTGATAAGGCTGAGATTGATTATGAAGGGGTCTGCATACCAAATTGTGGGATTCGGACATTCTTTGGCCAATACTGGTTAGCTTATGAGTGCTACAGGGCAAGATCGTCAATGCCAGTCCTCCGATGGACAGGTCAGACGGACTGGGGAGGTGGATGGACAGCAGGACACCATCAGAGGCAGCAGGGCAAGGCAGGGGACACAGCAGGGAAGAGGGAAGAGGGACCCTGAGATAAGGCCTTCGGGATGTGGCAGTTGCTGAGGTGGTTAGGAGCCAAAAGGAACCCCCTGTGCAATGTTTGGATTATGAAGGAATGGCGGCCCAGCCTGCAGAAAGGAGAGGAGACAATTTATTAGGAGTTCGGAGAAATTGGGCTTGATTTTGCTCACGTGGAGTTTCATTTGCTAATGGGGAGAAACTTCATTCAGTTCCTCTTAGCTCCAGTTAAGGTATCAGCTAATAAGTCTTAAATTTTGACTTGTACAAATCTTTCCAATGCAAAAATGAAAAGTCCTTTTAGGCCCCCCTCTCCTGTCCCTTGAATTATTCTAATGGAAACATGGCAGTTTCTAGCACCTCACTTGTGAAATTTTCAAGTGGCCACAGAGAGAAACTGGAGCAGGGATAGGATGACTGAGAGAGGAGGCAGGGTCAGAGGCAGTGGAAGGAGATTATAGGAGAGACAGAACAGAGGACAGATGGCGACAGAAAGACCGGTGCCAAGTCTGCGGACTCTGGTGCCAGGCCAAGCTAGCCATGGCATCAGGGAGGACAAACCCTCTGTCCACTGCCTGCACAGCCAGCCCAGATTCACACAACCAGACTCTGGTTAAGAGACTCTCTGGAAGTGAAAGCACATTAATGCCAGAAATAAATCAGAAAATGCAGATAAGGGAAAGCAATAATTCCATCACCATCAGACAAGGACTCCTGAAAATTGGTCTTTTCTCACAATTTGATGGTCCTTGCATATGTGTGAACATATACACCCATATCACTGCTGATGTCTTCCCCTGATGTTGGCTGAAGAAACAATGGGCAGTTTCGTGAGTCGTTCATGTGGTTTCTGGTTGGTGTGGGATCCTCTGGAATCAAGGGCACCTGCTGCTTTGCCTCAGACTCCACAGCTGTGCACTACTCCAACGGAGGTGCTCTCTTGCTTAGGTCCTCGGCAGATGTTTGTAGGCTCGGGCGTCCTAAGCCACAAGTGAGAAGGCCCACACCCAGGACTAGTTTGGATTCCAAGTGTGCTCCAAATGGCAAGATTGCAGAAGCCAAACATTTCTGGTGACAAGAGGGGAAGAAGAGGACCGAGGTCTCATATGGGCAACGCCCACTATGGGCCAGTAGACCCACAGGAGAGCCTCTGCCCACCCGTTTGAAGCCTGGAATGTCAGACTCGGGGGCACAGGTCCTTTCCTCTGAACTTGAGAGACACCTGAAAAACCAGAGACAAGCAAAGGGTGTCAACAGCTGACACCCTTACTCTGAGAGTAAGCACAAGGGTCTCTGTGGTCACTCACCAGGGCTCAGTTAGCAAAGACCCCAGAGGGTCCCCAGAGCAGATTCACTGTGCCCACTGCAGAGTTTGCTGATCACTGAAATGGCAAAGTGCACAAGACAAGTTATTCACAGGCACCCAAGCAGAAGGAGATTGGAGACCCAAGTCTCAAACCTGCCTCCCAAGCTCAGGGCTCTGGAATTGTAACGGTTCATCTTGACTGTCAACCTGACTGGCTTGAGATGCCTGGAATAGCAAAGCACATTTTGGATCATGGGAGTGAGATCTGGAGGGCCATATCCGCTCCTTGGCCCCTTCTTCTCTGGCTCTTTCCCTTCTGTCTACTTCCTGGCCACCATGAGGTGAGCAACTTTCCTCCACCATGATGTTTCTGCCTTGGATCCAGCTGACCATGGACTGAAACCTCTTTAACCATGAGCCAAATAAACCTTTCCTCCTTTAAGTTGTGCATGTCAGGTATTATGTCCTGGCCACAAAACAATGACTAATACAAACACTTATGCAGGTGATTGGAGGTTAACTCAGAGCAGGTGAATAGATTAAGTCTAAATCATAGTTCAGAATTCAGAGCAGGTGACCCTGGTTAAATCTTTAAAAGGCAAGTAACCAGGAGCAGAAGAAGTCTAGAGCAGTGATGGTGAACCTTTTGGAGCCTTTGTTGATACAAACAATCCAGCGCAGCATGCATTCCATAGGTTACCCACCACTAGGGAACTTTTCAGGAACTAAGAGTAGGTGGCTGGTCCAGGCTTTCCCTGAGTTTCAGTCTCATCTCTGTTCATTTCTCATTATTGAGGGACTCAAGTGATAACCAATCTATTTCCTACTGAATGGGGCATAGATCTGGGTGGGAGGAGCAAAGCTGCGATTCTTTGGCTGGGAGGAAAGTGGAAGGGGAAGGAAAGGGGATTCGGCTGTGATGTGCAATTCCCCCACAATACATGTATTTGCTGTGTACCACAAACTTATGAAAAATTTACCTCCCTAGGAGAGGGCTTGGGTCATAAGGTGACTGAAGGTTAAATCCGAGCAGCTGATGAGAATTTATTCAGGAACTAAGCGTTCATAGCTTATTGGCATCTTGCTGGGTTTCCAGTACTGACCATGTGGGGCGGTATACGTCTGTCTTTTCTTGGATGACCAGCAGGTGACAGCAGAGCACAGTGCAAATCAGGAACTTGCAGGAGCCCTGGGAAAGACAAGGTGCCTTAATCTCAGATTTCCTAGCCTCCAAAACTGAGAAATAAATTTTTATTTTTTATTTTAAATTTTTTTAAGTGTCCACCGTTATACAGAGTTCCTCACTTACCATATCGTAACGCTTTCCAACTCTGTGATGGATAGAAAGTGACACCATTCAGTAGCAACCATACTTCACATTTTAAGTTTTGATTTCTTCCCAAAATAGTGATAGGAAGTGTGATACTTACAATGCCAGGAAAGGAAAAAGAGCTGCCACTCCCAGTCAGCCTTTGGGATCAGGAAGGGAAGCAGCAAACACATGCCGTGTTTGCAAGCTCTGATGTACAAAAGGGGAGCTGTATTAAATGCATCCTCAGCTTACAATATTTTCAACATGCAGTGGGTTTAGTCAGGATGCCACCTCACCGGGAGCACTTTTGCATGAGGGTGATGACTGACCCACTTGTTCACTTCCTAAGTAACTCAGTGAGTCCTTCTCCAATTAACAACCCCTGAAGGGCTCCTGTGATGTGGAGCCTAGAGGCCTCTGTTCCCACTCACTCTCTGTCCCTGTTTGTATGGCATGCAGAGCCCTACCTAGTCTCCAAGTTGAGAAGAGATATTTCTCAAGAAACATCTTGTTTGCAAGCTGGTTTTGATACTTACATACTTGGGACCTAGAGTCCTCTTCTGATTCTCCTATGTCCTGGTTCGGAGTTACTAGAAAAGTCAGTAAGTCCCCCATTTTCTCATTAGGGGTGTCAAGCATTATGAGGATTTAAATGAGAACACAGAGTTATGTGGTCAGCACAACACTTGTCACATAGGAAGTCCCCAGGAAATGTCAGTTATGGTGCCCCTTCTAAGTCAGGTGAAATGAATAGAGAAAATCTAGAATGAGGGGGGTGTCACTTCAAATACAAAAGAAACAGGATGATTCTCAAGCCAGAATTTCCCTTGGTAACTCATTTCTAACTATCCTCCAGGTGTTACCAATGTTACCATTTTATTGTTCTTGACATTTCACTTAAATTCATTATGCTTAATTACCTATTTTGTATCAGCCACAATCATAAACACTAAGAGACAAAGACAAGTAAGACATTGGAAGGTCCTTTTCTTGAGGGTCTTTAGTTGTGCTGTCATAGCTGCCTCAATGTCCTGAATGGATTTAAAACATTTCCCTTTCACAGTCATTTTGACTTTGGGGAAGAGCCGGAAGTTGCTTGGTGTCAGATCCTGTGAATAAGGCGGATGAGGACACAGCGTCATGTCTTTACCAGCTGCCTTCCCTTTGGATGGCGCTTGGCAACAGCATTCACCTTTTTTTTTTTTTATCAAACTTTTTAAAGATCCGAAGGTGGTGAGTTATCTCAGTTGATTCTTCAAACCTTGTAAAGGCATGAGAGAGGACTTTTAGCATTGGTTCAGAAAGTGGTAACAATGACAGGATAATTTTGTTCAAACCACTGGGGGGTTATCAACAGTGTATTTTTTACTGTATTTTTAAACATTTAAACATTCACCATATATTTTTTCTCACACCTTATAGATTATACATTTGTTCAACCCTTGTAACTAAATAAATTCTCAACCCATACTTTTGTAAGAAACAGATTTCCAAGTGGAATGCAGGATCTGCATCTAGTTCTCTCTGTCGTTCGTCTTACAGTGTGCATCCATTTAAACACTTCTTGGAAGTTAAATTGGCCAGCTCCCCCTTTGCCATTCTTCTTGATGCTGGTTATGTGACTCTACATACATACCGACCCCTGGGTCACAGGTGGCATTCCATCCCTTTGCCATGTCCTGCTTAGGATTTGTAATGTGCAAGTTTGTAATAGCTAAAGCTTGGAAACAGCCCAAGTGCCCATCAGCTGGAGACTGGATAAAGATGTGGGGTGTTTTTATATAAAATGGAGTACTACTCATCCATAAAGAACAAGAAACAAGAGACATTTACAGCTAAATGGATGCACATTGAGGCCATACTCTTACATGAAATAAATAGGACACATGTGTAAATACCAAATAGTTTCTCTAGTGTGAGAAACTGAAAGTGTAAATAAGGATCAAAATTTATAATTGATAATG